GCGTCTCGACATGATCCGGAATAGTGACATCCGGAAGAGCCTTGGAATACAGCCTTTGCTTCTCCAGATTAAGAAGTCACGGCTGCGATGGTTTGGGCATGTTGCGAATGCCTCTAGAAAGGATGGCTAAGCAACTGTTTCTTGCGACACCGACTGGCAGAAGGCCCAGGGAACGATCAAGGTTAATCTGGTGTAAATATATGGAAGAAGTCTGTTCCAGACTCCACTTGCCTTCTGCCGAAGCTCAGACTCTGGCACAGGATCGGGAACGTTGGAAGCACTGCCCGACGCGTCTGCCTCCGCGACGCGAAATGAGAAGTGGTCTTGGAAAATGAAGAAGATAGAAATGTTCGACGTTTCTGTGTACGATACATCTGTTGCGAGCTCCGTCGATGCCAGTCCAAACCACAGGATTCTAAAAGTGGAAAATACATAAGGAACTGGTCCGTCCAGATGAACCTATAGCGACAGATACTTCACGTTCTAGTTGAAAATCCACTGCAGAATTTGAATGGAAATCGCAAACATTAAGCGACCTACAGTTTTATTCCACAGTGAAACAGGTCTGCTACAAACAGTCAAGTTCTATCTTCCATCCTCATCCACAGGGATGGCCATGATTATGAACAGATAGGTATCAGTTAGACAAAATGATTCTTCAGATTTCTGATTCTGGTCCCAGAGTTATATATCAAGGATTTGGATGATTCGCGGTACCAGATGCATCAGAAAGATCATCCGGAAATCGAACATCCGTATTAAGGAACACCTTGCTGCAGTCCGCGGCATTGCTGAGCATCTGATTATTGAAGGGGATTCTTTCAGTCACACCAATATCTATCATAGACAAAAGCCAATCTAGATTAGGTCTGCTGATAAAGAAGTCCTTGTCTATGGCAATGAAAAGCCGACTGTGCAACGAATACATTTCTTCTGTTGTCATAAGTGAAAGTTGAGGCACAAGCACAAAACCGATGAGCAAAATCGAGTCAAAATGACGATGCGATTTATTTTGTTGCGAACATTATACCCCCCGACGCTTTAACGTCTTGGCTGTATGTGAAGGGCTAGTTGAAAAACTGGCATGGTTCGCTTGCTGGACATAAATACCTTCAACCAGACAGTTGCACTCAGACCAGCCCTGATGACTAAACGGTTTTACCATCTGCTGCATTTGGTGCCCCGAACCCTTAATCATTCAAACAACCATGTCAGTTAAACTAACCTGGTGAGCTGCGCTCCGAACTAAAAAAGTTTCTGCCAGCATCGTTATCAGAAAGTGAAGCCGGTCATCTAAAAAAACTGCGGTTTTGCCACACCAGAAAGCAGTACTGCAAAAAGCAAACTGACACTTTGAGAACATTGCCGCACAAGAACATCTTTAGCTTACACTGATGACAACTCATAGCTCTTCAATGGCCGTCCAGAAATGTTCCACCGAGTAAGTTCTATGTACAGACAATCAATTAAATATCGCGATAGAGTGAACGATTTACTTGAAAACAAACCATTTCAAATACCCAAGCAAAATCAGCTACGTCATTACCAACCGAAGCATTCGTACGAAACATGAATGATAATTTAACAAACAGTTTGGTATAGAAAACTGAAAAACGGCAAAATAACTGAATTGTATATCGCTATTATGTTCTGTAACGAACGGCGTCGAAAGAAACGAGCCACTTCATTCGCAATGCTACTGTGCTTCTACAGCAACTCGCTGTGGAGCTGGTAATTCGGCAACAGGCGCAATCGTGCCGATGGACGTGTCTTTTGCTTTCTCGTCTGGCTTCTCTTCACTTTTCTTTTCTTCCTGCTTGCCTTCCTGCTGCTCCGTTATGTCAGTAGCTTTGCCTTTATCCGTCGTGACATTCGCCTCTTCCTTCGCTTCGGTGTTTTCGGCCGATTTCTCCTTGACCGGCTTTGCCGGAACACGACACAGATCAGCCCAATCTGCCCAATAAGCCGACTTGATTCGCTCCAGATACTTCACTACGTTCTGACAATCCGACTCCAGGTACTTTTTCAGATCAGTCTCGATTGGAGTGTACCACAACTGGCTGAGATGACCAAACGAAGCAGCATCTACCTAAACAGAGAAATTGTATAATTGCACTACTGGAATGCCCGATCATGCCTGAATGACGTAGAAATTTTAAGCAAAATACCTGCTAACGAAGACTGAAATTTGCCTCAAAACGAATGTTTAGATAAAAGGGTGTACCTTTGTCGGCTTATCGCCCATGAGATACGCCTTTTCGCCGAGAAAAACGGAAAAAGATCGTAAAGCCTCTTGACCAATGCGGATTATTTCGGTCGTAGTATGACGTCCGATTCCTTGGTGGAAGCTTTTCGTTTTCAGCTTAAGGAAGTTTCGAAATACAGCGACTATACAGTACGCAAAACTATACCTTGTTAGCCATCATTCGTGATGCTATAACGCGTACCGGTCGCAGCGGAGCCGGAAATATGCGCAGCATCGCATTGTCGTTCAATAGTTGGTCGACGTGCCCCGAACGCAGCGACATCACAACCCTAAATGACAAGTGGTTAGTGGATAAAAAACGTTCGGCGACCGGCGCCTATTTCACCAGTATATCGTATCCTCGACTAGCGACTCAAAAGCCCTGGCTACTGCCCTGTCAACAGGGTTAAGGTGCGAGTCGAAACCTTCTTTTTTGAAGTGCTTCGTTAGATCTTCTATGATGAAGTTCGAGTCGGGGATCTCTTTGCCATTCAGCTCAACGAATGGCAACTGTCCTTTCTTCGAACTCGTAAACAGGTCACATGACACTGCCTAGAATTTGAATGCAATCAGTTACAAAACGATGAGTAAGAAAGCGTGAAAAAAGAACCGTTCCTGTATAACTCATTTCAGGCAAAGGGAATAAATAGCCAGTTCAAATTTCATTAAATAAACATCAGTACTGAAGGCCGCATGTGATAGCAAACAGTAGCAGGGGTAAATGGAAAATTTCCACTGGAGCGTCTGCTAATATTTGTAACCCGGGAAGAGTACGGCGACACCGAGACGTGAGCTTTCGATTGTATATAGCATGAATGCTGGACCTCATTCGAGCGATATGTTGATATGTCGATTTCCATCTACCATAATAGGAACGGCTAACTCCATTTGCTGATCTACGATGTGCGAAAACAGTGAAAACACAAGCTAACGTTCATTTCATTCGTCTCTGAACTACTATTCACGTACAAACCTAATTCAACCAATACCGAGAAGAAACAACTTTCAGTCAGTCATAGAATGACGCCAATGTGCAGTAAATGAACTAACTTTATCTGATCAAATCACTCATTTTAAAAATACGTTACCAAATTACATACATGGTTATTTCCTGTAATAATTTTTTCATGCAGAACAGCGCGGACATCACGAAAGAGGTCAAATTCCATTGTCAGTAAATGCAAAAAAATTAAATTCTAAAACTAAATTAAATTAATATTCATTCTTCCAACTCCATGGATCGCTGGCAGGCAGCGCTTACTTTATAACGATTATGTTATACGTAAAAACACAATGGCCAAAGATCAGCAGAGTGAACGTTATTTCTCTAAGACTGCCCTTAAGAAAACTGTCGATGAAAATTAGGCAATTAAGTTCGCCATGCCATGGATACAGCTTCCAGTCGATTATTCAACTACGCACTGCAAACTTCTCAGTATGAAAACGTCATATCAAGTCGTTACACTCCCTAACAAACCTGGTGGAGAATGAAACGTACTAGAGGAGCCAACCAGATGCATGAAGCGCTTCGTAGGAGAGAGACTACATATCAAGTCATGGAGAAGCATCCTGTCGAAAAGAAATTGATGAACGTGCTGGTAACTTGGCGGTGTGTAGAATGAAACTTAAGGCGTCCAGCTGCAAAATGAGGCTCCTTCCACGTCGTCTTTCAGGCACGAGGGATAAACTAGAGAAGTGCTTAACGCGTTCGCAAATAAAATACGGCCATCAAACTGAATATAGACAAATGACAATATAATGCGTTAATAACGCTTACATTCTTTAAGTAGGATAATACTTCGCTAGACGAAATACAGTGATGTTAGTCTCCTTAGACGCTGTGGCATGAAGGCCTATTATGAATCCCACGTCACCTACTAAATGGATCTTCCTGGTTGCAGCAAATGCATAAAACTTAGCAGTAACAGATTAGAAATGGCTAACTCGAAATCGTCTCGTCTGCTAGACCCGCTACTGATTTAATTTGATCGAAGAGCAAATGATGGTGAGTCTCAATAAAAAGACTCCTCATGTACTGGCGAGACTGTTTACCTCAATCCAGAAGGAAACAGTTCAATTACTGACCAGCTTCTGTTTACCAATGTTTACCAGTTTACCTGACTTCTGTTTGCCAGTAAGAAACCGCATGAAAAACCAGGTGTGCATGTTAGGAATTGCATATTAGGATTCGCATCCACTTAGTTCGAAGAATACGTAGTGGATGATATCACACACACCATTGGCGATACTACGGATATCACTATCTACACGGCCTTACAATTAATTCCTGTCATAAGCCAGTCGGGAAATATTCTTACATGATTCATATAAATCCCTTTGCATGCGGAACGGTAAGGAATATCGACGTAGACACCTCAATTCAAATTAATTTATCGCCAAGTTAGTAAGCCTGACTCGCAATGTGGCAAAATGAAAATTATGCATCAATAAACGCGATCTTCATCGAGTTTTGCTATCGCGAGGTCCATAAAAGGCAAGCTATCAAGAACTGACTGTAAAGATGCTCTCGCTATTCAGTTCTCTGCGCTAAACTAATTAAAACTTTTGAATATCCGTAAATTTTAATATTAATTATAAAAAGTCATATTTATTCACCGTGCAAGCTTCATGAAAACACAAGCAAATTCAAAATCGAAGAAAGCGTTTGACGGGATGATGTAAAATCCCCGAAGTAATTCACAGCAACCCTAGAAGCTTTCAAGACACCCCACTGGCAATATCAGGATTGAAGATAATTCAGTGCCTTGCGGCTAGCGGACGACGTTGTCTGAAGGTCATCA